CTTCCAAAAGATGTCTACCTACAAATCCCCAAAACCTTATAATATGTTAGTTTATATATTATAAAAATATATTACATATTATATAAACTTAATTATATATTAAATAAACTTTTGTCTCAGTCAACTAAGTTTAAGCCTCTCATTTCATTTGTTTAGCTTACCTTGGGTGAGGATATGTTACATTGAAATTCCATCTTAATAGAAGACTAAGTTTAAAGTACTTCTGGAGACAGACTACCCACTCTAGCTGGCCCAGTAAATGGCCTTTTCATAAATGTAAGTGTGAGTCTGATGGTCTGATTCTAAGGCCTTTGAGGAATAAATACAAGAAAATAATTTACTATGAAAATTAACGTCACTGATTCTATTTTAATTCTGTTTCTGAATTTCTACACTTAACAGTTCACGTTAATTCAAACATTCATACTTTGATTTCTATCCTCTCCAACTTCCTCTCAAATTCTCTTTCACCATAAAGGAAGAGATCATAGTTGTCTGTGCATTTGTACATAAACGTGTTTGTGCTTATTTGAAAGAAGAACGTGTACAAATACACATACACAGACCACTCCCATGAATGTTTTCTTTGAATTTAATGATATATTTCTATACATTTTTTAAATTCACCATACATCTCTCTGAATTTTTTTTTTTTAATCCCACAGTAACTTCAAAAAAATAGGCTTCCCAGATGACTCAGTGGTAAAGAATCCACCTGCCAATGCAGGAGACATGGGTCAGAAATATTCATTAGAGAAGGGAATGGCAACCCACTCCAGTATTCTTACCTGGGAAATCCTGCCAGAGGAACCTGGCAGGCTACAGTCCATGGGGCTGCAAAGAACCAGACACAACTGAAGCAATTTAGCATGCATGCACTTTCAGAAATAAGAAAATTGAGGTTTATGGAAACTAAATTTTTAATAATTACATACAAAACCCTTAATGGGTATTTTGTATTTTCTTGAATTATTAATATATACAAATGCAAAACTGCATTACGCCCTCTTGATTCTGTAAAGTTTCTTTAATTCATCAAAGTTTACACTTAATGGGTGCAATTTATTATGTTCATTATATGCCAATGAATTCTTTATTTTTTGTGAATTAATTTATCTATTTAACTGAAATTCTTTAAATGAAAAAAAATGTCTTGGTTGAAGTAGGATCTAGAAAGCACAAAAGTAGCTGATTCACCCTTAAAATGAGAGAAAGGTATGTTTTCTAACCATGACAAAAGCAAAATGTCACATACATAGAGGATCAGTGCATTGAAGTCAAAGTAATTTATATGCTAAGTATGGCTTTTTTTTTCTGTAAATAGAACTTTAATAATAGAAATGAAGCAAACTGACCATAAATTGGTTCAAGACCAAAAGACACTATAGACACACACAGGACATGGATGAGCTTTAAAACCCATCTCAGAGCCTGACAGCTGACTCCACACTCATAAGGAACCCAGCAGAGTTCAGAACAACCCCACATCGTGTAGCCTCTTTTAATAATAAAGGCATTCAATTAAACCACTTGCTTTTCTGAAGAGCTATTATACAACAATAGTTAACTGATACAACATAGTCATCTGAACTGAGGACAGTTCTAAGAGTTCACTGCTTCTTATGTCAGTGATCTCTGTTCTGATATTTGAGGACACTGTTCATGATAACTCTGATACAGTTTATTTCAGACAACTCTACTAAAATGTGAGGTTCTGTTCCAGGGAACTTGGACAGGTGAGAAGGAGTTGTATTTTCATGCAGAAAATCTGCTGTCCCTGAATCACATGATTGGAAAGGAATTCAAACTCTCCTGTGAGTCATAACTTCTCATGAAGATTAACATCTTGTTCATTCTTCAGGTAGATATGGAATGAATAATATGTTAGTCCACTACTCATTTAGAGATGATGTTGCAACTTAGAAAAGATTGAGGAGTATCATCTATATAAATGGAAGGATTTATATAGGTAGGCAGCACTGGACATTTTCAAACAGGTTTAGGAAGATGATCAATCCCATTGAAATACATGAAACACTCCAACAAGTCCTTTACTCCATTATATAAACCCTCTAAAAGATAAACACAAATCTTACATATGTCAATGAGTAGATTTACAACTTGAAAAGCAAATATTTTGCATATAATGTATAATTTTAAAATTTGCTTTGTCATATTTAGGGTCACCTATGACTTAATATTGGGAAAAAAAAAAAAAAAACTGAGATCATGGCAACTGGTCCCATTACTTCATGGTGAATAGAATGGGAAAAGGTGGAAGCAGTGACAGATTTCCTCTTCTTGGGCTCTAAAATCACTGTGGATGGTGACTGCAGTCATAAAATTAGAAGACAATCATTTCTTTGCAGGAAAGCTATGACAAACCTAGACATGTGTGGAAAAGCAAAGACGTCACTTTGCCAAAAAAGGTCCATATAGTCAAGGCTATGGTCTTTCCAGTAGTCATGTATGGATGTGAGAGCTGGACCATAAAAAAGGTAGAGTGTCAAAGAACTGTGATGCTGGAGAAGACTCTTGAGAGTCCCTTGGACAGCAAGGAGATTGAAACAGTCAATCCTAAAGGAAATCAATCCTGAATATTCATTGGAAGGATTGATGCTGAAGCTAAAGCTCCAATCATTTGGCCACCTGATGCAAGGGAGCTGACTCATTGGAAAAGACCCTGATGCTGGGAAGGGAGAAGGAGAAGAGGGCAACAGAGGGTGAGATGGGTGGATGGCATCATCGACTCAATGGACATGAACTTGGGCAAACTCTGGCAGATGGTGAAGGACAGGGAAGCCTGGCGTGCTGCAGTCCATGGGGTCACAAAGAGTCAGACATGACTAGGTGACTGAATAACAACAATGACTCCAAGTACATATTAAGTTAATTTGTTTATTCTAAGTGGTGCTGAATAAATACTCCACATGGAGACACATAACCTAATGACCTATTTCTTGCCAATGGCCATGGCAGGCATTGTGGACATGGAATTTAATAAGAGAATAGGATCCTAGAGAGGAGACTAAAAGTCAGTGACTAGATATAAAACAATATAGATTAGAGTCAAGTTCACCTATAAATTAATATAGAGATATAGAAAAATGATGGCCCCAAAAGGAAAAAACTGTCTGAGATCTTCCTCTAAATCTTGTATAAACATATAACTGTGATTGTTTCTGAGTGTATTTCTTTCCAAGGGAGTGTACAACTCATGACTAATCTTTTACTAAAAAAAGCAAAACAAAGCATGGCTTCAGGAAGTTCAGTCACTCAATTGTGTCTGAATCTTTGCAACCCCATGGACTTCAGCATGCCAGGCTTCCCTGCCCATCACCAACTCCCAGGGCCAATATAAACTCATACCCATTGAGCTAGTGATGCCATCCAATCATCTCATCCTCTATCGTCCCTTTCTCCTCCTGCCTTCAATATTTCCCAGCATCAGGGTCTTATCCAATGAGTCAGTTCTTTGCATCAGGTGGCCAAAGTTTTGGAGTTTCAGCTTCAGCATCAGTCCGTCCGATGAATATTCAGGACTGATTTCCTTTAGGATGGATCTGGTTTGATCCCCTTGCAGTCCAAGAGACTCTCAATAGTCTTCTCCAAACCACAATTCAAAGGCATAAATTCTTTGGCCCTCAGCTTTCTTTACAGTCCAACTCTCACATCCACACATGAGTACGGGGAAAACCATAGCTTTGACTAGACGGACCTTTTGAAAGGTTGTTGCTGAACCATGAAAGATGCTGGGATTCTTGGCCTCTGGAGGAGAATTCAATCTGGGGCCAGAGACGAGGCTTGATCACTCAGAGCTTTTGTGTAATAAAGTTTTATTAAAGTATAAAAGAGATAGAGAAAGCTTCTGACATAGACATCAAAAGGGGGCAGAAAGAATACCCACCTGCTAGTTTTTAGCTGGATGTTATATAGTTACTAGCAGTCTGTTAATGAAAGAGGAATGCCTAAAAACTCAGAGAATGGCCCCAGGCCCCTCACCCACAAGATGCATTTTGAGATAATCTTGGCACCAGGTGAGTCATCCTGGGCCATAAAATTATTGACTTGAATCTTGTAGAATGGCAGATTACAATACAAATAGTTCCATTTACATGGATTAGGAGAACAATGCATGAGGATAACATACTGGTTTGTCAAGTCAGTTCTGAGCCTTTAGGTGGAACCGACTTGAAGATAGAGTTTGGGATAAATGCATATTACATTAACATAGCTTAAGACAAACACTTCCATAAAAGAAATGCATTGGTTAGCTTAAGATTTGAGAAAAGTTAAGTTCAGGTGGAACCAGGTGTCATTATGGCAACAGTATTTTAAGAGAAACCTCTTTTAAAATTTGTATACAGAAGGGGAAAAAATATATCACTAGTTTGTTCCCTCCTGCCACTTAAGAGAGAGATAAAAAAAATGTCTGACACTTGCAATCTATTTCCTCTGTTTGGAGACCCTGGCCTTCTTGTGTGTTACCCTCTCACTTTGTTGGCAAAGTAATGTCTCTGCTTTTCAATATGCTGTCTAGGTTGGTCATAGCTGTTCTTCCAAGGAGCAAGCGTCTTTTGATTTCATGGCTGCAATCACCATCTGCAGTGATTTTAGAGCCCAAGAAAGTAAAGTCTGTCACCAATTCCATTGTTTCCCCATCTATTTGTCATGAAGTGATGGGACTGGATACCATGATCTTAGTTTTCTGAACTAAGCCAACTTTTTCACTTTCCTCTTTCAATTTCATCAAGAAGCTCTTTAGTTCTTCTTCACTTTCTGCTATAAGGCTTGATATTATATTTTTTATTTGAGAAAAAGAATTTTTAAAGAAATCCAAAGTCATATGATTTGAAATAGAAAATAATTTGGGAAAGCAGGAAAATGATGAGGTAAAACTGCTGAAATTATACCTTCTGGCTCCAAGATTATAAATCCTGTACTCATATGGCCTTGTTCAACTCCAGGACAGTTGCACCCTGTGTAGCTGTCATCCCCACATATCTTTTCATAGCCCTCTTTATGTCTTTATTTCTCAGACTGTATATGAAGGGGTTCAGCATGGGTGTGACCACTGTGTACATCAATGAGGCTGTTGCACTTGAGTGTGAGCTGTGGGTAACAGCAGAGCTTAGGTACACTCCTAAGCATGTACAACAGAATAAGGAGACAATTGAAAGGTGAGATGCACAAGTGGAAAATGCTTTATACTTCCCCTGAGATGATGATATTTTACAAATGGAAGACACTATCTTAGAGTATGAGTAAATGATACCAACCAGGGGACAACCACCCAGAAGTGGGGCTGCAAAATACATCACTATGTCATTGAGAAAGGTATCAGTGCAAGCAAGTTGAATCAACTGATTAAGTTCACAGAAATAATGAGGGATTTCTAAATGTGTATAGAAGGCAAGCTGCAAAACCATTAAGGTTTGTAAGAAGGAATGCAAGACACTGATGATCCAGGAGACCAGGAGCATAATGCCACAAAGCCATGGATTCATAATGACTGTGTAGTGCAGGGGGTGACAAATGGCCACAAAGCGGTCATAGGCCATCACTGTTAGGAGGAAGTCATCCAACCCTACAAAGAGTATGACAAAGTACATCTGAGTAATGCAGCTTTCATAGCTTATCAGTTTGCCCTGGTTCTGGATGTTCCACAGCATCTTTGGAATGGTGGTAGAGGTAACACAGATGTCTACAAAGGACAGGTTGGAGAGGAAGAAGTACATAGGTGTGTGGAGGTGGGAGTCAGAAATGGTGGCTAGGATGATAGCCAGATTTCCAAACACAGTGATTAAATACATGGAGAAGAAAATCATGAATGTGATAGGCTGCAATTCTTGTTCCTTTGAAAATCCCAGAAGAAGAAATTCTGAAACTACTGTGAGATTTTCTTCTTCCATTTGTTGAAGTTGAGAATAAGAAAAGAGAAAAATAACATTAGTTATCTTTACACAAATGACCTTCACTCATAAAATTGAAATGGTTAGTTTACATTTTGCAGTAACAAAATTTATATCAATACTTTTGTGTATTGACCTAATCCTCTGTGGGATTCCCTATTGTTATCCCTGATAAGGAAATTTTCACATTTTTGGCTTTTTTGTCACCATGTTATTTTCCACCCTTAATGAGAAATTCTATCATTTATTTCTGAAATTCATATTGTCTGCTGATAATTTTCCTATTACTGTCTGGCCTTTGAATATAAGAAGATGAGAAGCAAAAACACCTAACATGCATAAAAACATCACATATGATGTACACACAGCTAACTTTATACTAAATGGTGAAAAAAATAAAAGTTTTACCTGTATGATTAGGAGTGAGGCAAGGATACCCTCTCACCACTCCTATTCCACATGGTACTAGAAGTCCCTAGTCAGAGCATTAAAGTACAAAAAAGAAATAAAACACATAAGATTTGGAAAATAAGAAATAAAATTGTCTTTTTTTGCAGATGACATACGCACAATACAATCCTAAAAAAATCTGTGAAAAATGTTACAGCTAATTAAAAAATTCACTAAAATGCAGGATACAAAATTGACATATAAAAATAAGTAGCAACTGTATATACTAACAACAAGTTATCAAAAAGGAAATAAAGAAAGCATAGTACTTACAATAGCATTAAAAACAAAATGTTTTGGAATAAGTTCAACCAATGAGGTAAACTATCTCTATGCTGAAAATTACAAGACATTGTTGATAGGAATTGAAGAAGATACAAATAAAGGGAAAGTATCCCATGTTTCTAAATTGGAAAAAAAAATATTTTTCTTACAATGTTTATATTAGTCAAAGCATATCTACACATTCAATGCAATCCCTGTCAAGATTTCACTGGCATTTCTCACAGAAACAGATAAACAATCCTAAAATTCATAAGAAATCACGAAACCAGGAATATCCAAGGTAATCTTGAGAAAGAAGGACAGAGCTACAGTCATCACACCTTCTGCTTTCAAAAGTATACTACAAAGCTACTGTCATCAAAACAGCAGGGTACTAGCATAAAAACAGACACACATAACTATGTAACAAAATTGGGATCCCATTAATAAAATGACACTTAGATGGTTAATTAATCTATGATAAAGAACACATTAATTAGGGAAAATATGGCTTCTTCTATAAGTAATATTGGACAAAATTGTCCAGCTATGTAAAGCAGAATGATATTGGACCACTACTTTATGGTAGTCAAAGAAATCCCTCCTAAATGAATTAAAGACATAAGTAGACCTAAAACCATTAAAATCCTAGAGGAAAACATATGGAAATGATTTCTTGGCATAGATCTTGGGAATATTTATTTTGGATTTGACATGTCAACAAAGTATCAAAATAAGAGATAACCAAGTGGCACTACATCAAACTAGATAGCATCTGCAGAAAAGAAAAAAAAACACACACACACACAAAGAACAAACAGCATGACCAAAAAAAGATATGGAAATGGAAAAAATATTTTCAAACAAGATATCTGAAAGGGAGTTAATATTCAAACTATAAAAGGAACTCATACAACCCAGCAGAGCTTCCCTGGTAGCTTAGTGATAATCTGCCTGCCAATGCAGGAGTCACAGGAGACATGAGCTTGATCCCTTGCAGAAATATCTCCTGCAAGTGGAAATGACAACCTACTCCAGTATTCTTGTCTGGAAAACACCATGGACAGAGGAACCTGGAGGGTTACAGTTCATGGTGTTGCAAAGCTTCAGACACAACTCTGACAACTGAGCATACAACCCAGAAGCAAAAGAAATTCAAACAAAAAATAAAGAAAGGATATGAGTAGACATTTTCCAAAGAGATATTCAAATAGTCAACAGGTGTGTGAAAAGGCACACAACGATGCTATTCATTAGGGAATTTCAAGTCAAAACTGAATGAAATATTATCTATTCCTGTTATAATGGTGATTGTCAAAAATACTAGAGCTAAAAAGTGATTTTAAGAATGTGGAGAAAAGTTAACCTTGTGCACTATTGGTGTTAATATAATTTGTAAAATCCATGTAATTTGTGAAATGGCCATTATATAAAACTGAATGGAGTTTCATCAGAAATAATTAGAAAGAGACTACAATTCAATAACTTAATCTCTGGAAAGTGAAAGTGTTAGTCACTCAGTCATGTCTAACTCTGTCCATGGAATTCTCCAAGCAAGAATACTGGAGGGGGTTGCCATTTTCTTCTCCAGGGGATCTTCTTGCCACATTGGAAATAGGTACACAAATGATTTATTAGCACTAAGGAGATAGAGGAAATTTCACTAATATTTTTGTTTAAAGCAATGACTTGAAACTGAAGAATGTTAAAGTGACACCTCAAATATTTCAGCAAAGAAACGAAAAATTAAAATGCAATGGGGGGAGCAGTCTATGGTTGGTGGATTGATTTGATCATGAAAAGTTGTAAACACTCACAGTTGCCCACAGACACATTTATAATATGTAAAAGAGCTAAATGGCAAGCAGTCAGTTTGTGGAAAAACTTCAATTCTTTGAAAGAACTTAGTGAAAAGCAAGAATGAAAATATTTCAACTCACTATATCGAATCAAATGCCACATACCTATAATTTGCATCAAGAAAGCAAATATCTAACAAATCCACATATATATTCAGCCTCACAAGGTAATAAATAGTTGCAGAATAAACCTGGTTGCATACCTTTGACATATAAAATATTTTTTTTCCCACGTGGACACCCTGAGTGACAGAAAATACTCTGAAACATGTATCTCATGAAATGCTATTGTAAAGATTCATTTGCAGTCATTCCTTGGTCTTGATCTTCTTATCATATGAGTATATAGTCAAATAGGCACTATTTTAAAAATGAAAGGAAACCCCACACTTCCCTCAACATCTCTCCACAACTAATATCCTATTTGTTTACTCCTATTAATTAATAAGCTCTTGGATATTAATTTCACTTTACTCAAAATACATCACACCTCCCGGTCCCCCTTCTAACTGGATTTCCATCACTAAGATTTAATTGGTATCACTGACCCTGAAATTGCTGAGTTAAATGTTCACGTCTCTTTACAGCATCATAAAAATACATTGATCTATTAATCAAACAGCTTTTCAGGTGGTACAGTGGTAAAGAATCAGCCTGCCAATGAAAGAGCCATAGGAGACTCAGGTTTCATCGCTGGGTTGGGAAGATCCCCTGGAGTAGGAAATGGCAACCCGCTGCAGTATTCTCGCCTGGAAAATCTCATGGACAGAGGAGCCTGGGTCACAAAGAGTTGGACATGACTGAGTGCGTGCATAGCATGCACCCGTGTGCACGCGCGTGCACACACACACACACACACACACACACACACATCAAACAAGCGAACAACCACAGTGATCTCTGGACACTGGGCTAGACTGGATTGGCTTTCAGATGACCTCAGATAACCAGTTAGCTTCCATATTATCTGATACCTTCTGTATCACTTGGGCAGCAGAACTAACCTGGATGGAAACTCTCTGTGTGGAAGTCCTCCCTGGGTGGTGGATGATGGAGACTGAAACTCAGTCCCCACAGATCATCTGTTAGGGGTCAGGCATCCTTCCCTGATCCAGACCAAGGACAACAAAAGGCTAACTGTGCCCCATGCAATCCAAGTTTGTACTCACAGGGGACTGAAGTGAAAAGATGTTTACAGCTCTCTACCTGCTCATTAGGTATATTTCCCTCCTTTACTTCCAAATCCATGTAGATGATTTCCCAGTGGGACACTCATCTAGAGAACATGAGATTTTTTTCTGCTGATTCTCTGCTCCTAGGAGACCAGGTTATGAGCCAGGTGAATTCATACTTTATTACTCTTCAATTAACTTCTTCCTTCCAGAAGTCTAAACCCTAATGACCTCATCAAAACCTGGAGTTAAAATTTTCTCAAAGTCTAAGACTGAAGATTCTGTATCATTTAGGTTCCCTGAAAATTCACACAGTGATTTTCTATTGGGATAGTGTCCCTGAAACTCCAGAAAATTATTATTCCTCTGTTTTTAAAAGGGACAGATTGTAAAATTTAATATAAAACTTTGGACAGCATACTCCTTGGCTTCCTGACACTTTGACCAAAACAATTCAAAAACCCATAGTTATATCACAAGATAAAAGCTGTAGCTTTGTCCTTTATTATAAAGTATGTATTAATTACAAGAGAAACATTAAAATAGACATTTCTCCAAAGAAGACATGAAGATGGCCATGAGGCACATAAAAAGATGCTCAACATAACTAATTATTATATGAATGCAAATCAAATCTACAATAAGGTGTCACCTCACACCAGTCAGTATGTCCATCATTAAAAAAAATTTACAAACTATAAATGCTGGAGAGGGTTTGGGGAAAAGGGAGCCCTCTTACACTGTTGGTGGAAATATAAATTGATACAGCCACTATGGAGAACAGCATGGAGGTGTCTTGAAAAACTAAACATAAAGCTACCATCTGATCCAGCAATCTCACTCCTAGGCATATAT